AAGGGTTAGTATCCAAAGTATATGGAGAATTTTTTGCAACTCAACACCAAAAGCAAATAATCCCATTTTAAAAACTGGGCAGAAGATATGAACAGGCATGTCTCCAAAGAAGACATACAGATGGTTATCAAACAGGAAAACATGCTCAATATCACCTCTCCTCAGAGAAATGCAAATCAAAGCCACAATGAGCTATCGCCTCACACCAGTCAGAATGGCTAAAATCAAAAACACAAGAAACAACAAGTGTTGGTAAGGATGTAGAGGAAAAGGAACAGTCATGCACAGTTAGTAGCAATGCAAACTGTTGCATCCACTGCGGATAACAGTGTAAAAATAGAATTACTATATGATCCAGTAATTCCAATGCAGGGTATTTACTCAATGAAAATGAAAAACACTAATTCCAAAAGATATATGCATCCATGTTTATTAACGAATTATTTACAATAGCCAAAGTATGAAAGCAATCCAAGTGTCCATCAATAGATGAATGGATAAAAAAGATTTAGGGGACACACACACACACACACATTGGAATATTACTCAGCCATAAAAAAGATGCTTAACTGACTGTGCCACTCAGGTGCCCCTATGCAATATTCTAGGAAATATGATCCTTGGTTATATTTCTTGGTCTGATACCTACTTTGTACAAAGTTAATAGTCATTCCAGCTTCTAGTTGTTATTTCTTCTTAATTTTTTTAATGTTTATTTTATTTTAGACAGAGGGTGAGCAGCAGCAGGGAAGGGGCAGAAAGAGATGTTGAGAGAGAGAATCCCAAGCAGGTTCTGTGCTGATGCGGGGTTTGATCCTGCAAACAGTGAGGTCATGACCTGAACCAAAATCAAGAGGCTTAATCGACTGAACCACCCAGGCAAACATTCTAATTATTATTTCAATATGTTATATGAATTTCTCTTTTGCTTTTAATACATCTATGGCTTATGTAATTTTTTTATGAAAAGTTTGCTATAATTCTTCTTTTTCTCCTTTGGTAGGTTATGTGTTGTTGTTGTTGTTTTCCCTATACCTGCTCTTTCACCAGTGTTCCTAATCATTAATAATCAGGAAAATGTAATTTAATGTCTTTTTTTTTTTTTCAACGTTTTATTTTATTTTTGGGACAGAGAGAGACAGAGCATGAACGGGGGAGGGGCAGAGAGAGAGGGAGACACAGAATCGGAAGCAGGCTCCAGGCTCTGAGCCATCAGCCCAGAGCCTGACGCGGGGCTGGAACTCACAGACCGCGAGATCGTGACCTGGCTGAAGTCGGAGACTTAACCGACTGTGCCACCCAGGCGCCCCAGGAAAATGTAATTTAAAACAACAGTGATACACAATCACATAACTTCAAACTAGCTAAAATTAAAATAATTCATAAAAACCACTGTTGAGAGGACAGGGATGAACAAGAGATCTCTCTCATACACCACCAGTGATACAGATACTTTGGAAAATTATTTGGTTTTGTCTAAAGTTGAGCATCATTAAACCCCACCATCAAATACTTTTATAAATGTTATATATCAACATACACATATGATCATGTCTGCCAAAATACATATGAAAAATTGGCCATAATAAAATAATTAAAAATAGTTAAACATTAGATGTAAAATAAATTCATCAATTTAAGAATATATAAAAAATGTTATATAAATATAATGCTATAATACACAAATAAGTACACATACAGAAAAATTATGAACTGCAAACATATGCAACTAGATGGATGAATATAAAAGTGTATATTGAAAGAAACCACATTAAAGAAAATACATATTACATACTATTATAGGATTTCAAAAACAAATTAATAGTATAATAGTTAAGATAATTGTGGTCACTTTTGGGGAGGGCATAAGGTTAACAATTTGAATAGATCATAGGCTACCAGTAATAATCCACTTGTAACTGAGAACATTGTTAAAAACTTTGTTCATTTTACAATATTTTATCATGCTGATCACTTAACATTTTAGTTACATTTAAAAATAAAAAAAACTTTAGATATTTATATAATTTTGTGGTTAATCTTTACAATAATGATACAAACTATTATACAATACAAATAGCTTAAATTATATTTAATAATTTTATTTCTACATTTATAATACCCTTGTTAGGTGTCTTAAATCTTTTAAGCAACACAGAGAGAAATAAATAAGTTGATGATACATGGATATATAAATAAGTTAATAATCACATATATATATTGTATACATAATTCTGTGAACTTTGAAACCAGCACAAGCTTGAATAATCAATCTATCTATCTATCTAATGATCTATCTTTAATGGGAAAAATTATATAACCATACTTTTAAATTGGTAATCTATTATAAAATGTTAGGAAATAGCTGTAAATATCAAGGACCAACTGTACCCACTTCATACTGTATTATTATAAGAAAAAATGAGTTAATATACACAAATTATTTTATAACCTATAAAACACTTAAAATATATTATCTATTTATACTTTTATATTTTTATTTTACACATAGTTTTTAAATACAATATTTATATTTAAAGACATACTTACTAAGCTGAATGGCCTTTTAAAAAACAACAAAATGCTTGTATATAATCATAGTGCTGCTGGATAGACATTGGCAAAATCTTAGGACATAAAAATAATGTATATCAGGCTGATATATTTCTCATAAGCCTCAAATACAGTAAGACTTTAGTCTAATTTTGGCTTTATGTGAAGCCATAGGCAGAATGTGAAGAATGACCCCCAATGACCTTTCATTTTGAGCACAGGTGGGACTTGTGACTATGAAGAGATATTATCCCCATGGTTATGATCTGCTATGAGGGACAGGCGACCTTCAGAGAGATATCTACAGGAGCCTAATGTACCCAATGAGCTGTTTAGAAAACAAAATTTTCCTCATCTGGTAACAGTGGACGAAGGGAGAAAAAGAACACAGATATGAACTAGGAGAAGGATTTGAAACACTGCTGGTTTGAAGAGGGAGGGGGTTATCTGAGAAGGAATGTAGGCACCTTCTAGGAGCAAAAAGTAGCAGACAGTGATAACACACAAGAAAACACAGACATCAGAACCAGCCACAAGGAACTGAATTCTGCAAGTGGAATGTTGCTTGGAAATAGATTGTTTCTCAGAGCCTCCAGATAAGAGACTAGTCAACAAACTGACTTCAGCCAGTGAGACACTGAGCAGAGGAACCAAATGAACCTGAGATTTGTGAACTACAGAATATGAGATTATAAAATTTTTTTAATGTTTATTTTTTGAGAGAGTGAGAGAGAGCGAGCATGAGCAGGGGAGGAGCAGAGAGAGAGAGGGAGACACAGGATCTGAAGCAGGCTCCAGGCTCTGAGCTGACAGTTCAAACTCATGAACCACGAGATCATGAACTGAGCTGAAGTCAGAAGCTTAGTCAAATGGGCCACCCAGGTGCCCCCAGAATTATGAGATTATGTTTTCTATTATAACACTAAGTTTGTGATAATTTGTTATACAGCAATAGAAAATTAATACAAACTTAGAATAAAAAGATCATTAGCTCTCTGAGATCTTAAAAGATTACATACAGTTAAAATGACTGAGAGATTAATTCAAGAGGTCATGGTGCAGAAGGCAAGTATTGTTGGCTGCCCAGTAATGATCTGGACCTTACTACATGCTGACAGAAGAAATGCAATGGGTATACCTACTTTCACAAACCAGGTATTTATTATAAAGTCTTAACAAAATACTGTGGATTCAGAAATCATACTTTGCTAATCATCACTTTGCAAAAAACCAACAGCATTAATAGTGTTAAGTTAGTGGATAATGAAGCCATTAAATCAGAGAAACCTGAATTACTAAACATTGTTTTGGAGGAGCACCCGGGTGGCTCAGTCAGTTAAGCGCCAGACTTCAGCTCAGGTTATGATCTTGCAGTTTGTGGGTTTGAGCCCCACGTCAGGCTTTGTGCTGACAGCTCGGAGCCTGGAGCCTGCTTTGGATTCTGTGTCTCCCTTTCTCTCTGCCCCTCCCTTGTGTGCTCACTCTCTCTCTCTCAAAAATAAACATTAAAAAAATTTAAATCTTGTTATGGAAACCTCCTACCTCAACCACCCTAGAGCTTACCATGGTCTGAGACATAAGATAGTAAGTTTCACTGAGTTAAAACCACTGAGATTTTTGTAACTGATCTCCTACAGTAGCTGAAGTTTAATCAAACTATTCCTTAAGGGGAAAAAAAATCAGCTGAATTTCTCTAAAAGGAGCAAGATAATGGCAGCATGTTCAAATACTACTTGTATTTGCATTCATCTGTTAGTGGGGTGGAGGGCGGGTATAGTAAAAATGACCTGAGATCTATCAGTAACTTGATAATTTAAAAAAAATTAAGTTTATTTATTTTGAGAGAGAGAGAGAGAGAGAGAGAGAGAGAGAGAGAGAGAGAGGAGGGAAGGGGTAGAAAGAGAGACAGAGAGAGAATCCCAAGCAGGCTCTGCACTGCCAGAGCAGAGTCCAATGATCATGAACTGTGAGATCATGACATGAGTTGAAATCAAGAGCCAGATGCTAAACCGACTGAGCTACTGACATGCTCCTAAATTCAAATTTTAGTAAGCACCTAGCCTTCTTTAAAATCTTGTATCTATGAGCAACCCGTGTGTTTAAGATGGGAAAAGGTAAACGGCACAAAGTTATACAAAGAATTTAACAAAAGACACATGAATATCAAGGAAGTTAGGATTACAATTTATTTTAATAGATACTCAGATTCATCTTTTTGTCTTATTAGTCAATAAATTAAAATTACATGAAAAACTGAAACAAGAATTTTATAAGACGTAAAACCAACTGGTTATTTTTAAACCATCAGTTGTAGTCTGTCAGTAATAATGAGTGAAAGAAAACACAAATCTTAGACTGAATATTAGAAAATATAAAATACAAGTTAAAGTGATTGCTTTTGTTTTCCCCTTTAACTCCAAGTGCTCTTGGCCTCTTTATGATGTCACCTCTCAACATCATTAATTTGAACTTACAGTGCTTACTTAAGTCCTGGCAAATCATAGGTGGTGGAAATGTCTGTACCAAGATTGTAAGTCCTCTTGTCAAATTTTATATTTTAAAATAACTGAAATGCTCTAGTTAGCTTTATATTTATTCTCTTTAGTATAAAGAGATGTCCATTATTATTCATTATAAACAAGAGAGTATGTGTTTAGCACATACATTCTCAAGCAACATCATAGGCTGTTTTGATCCAAGACTTAACTAATTCATTCATTTCAGTGAAATATATGCATAGTTTTGGATAAATCTTTTTGAATGTGATCCTTACTTCATTTTTTTTTATCATACTGTATTTTGTAACATACAGAATAAAATGTTTCATGGTTCTCATTCAGGGAACTTTCACCTCTTGGAGCCTATTTGGAAATCTCTGGGAATTTTGTTTTGTTTTGTTTTTGTTTTCTGTTTTGTTTTAAACTTTATTTTTGAGAGAGAGAGTGGCACTGAGAGAGGAAGAGAGAGACTCCCAAGCAGGCTCCTCACTGTCAGCACAGAGCTCGATGTGGGGCTCAAACTCATGAACTGTGAGATCGTGACTGGAGCAGAAATCAAGAGTCAGACACTCAACCGATTGAGCCACCCAGGCGCCCCTTGTTTTGTTTGTTTGTTTGTTTGTTTGTTTTTTTAATGTCACAGTGACTGAGGAGTCTACTGACTTTTAGAGGGCGTGTATCAAGGATGCTAAACCTTTGGTAATAAGTGGGGCATCCCAACAGAAAGAAGATCAATTAAATACTAACTCTATTCCCCTTGAGAAATACTGAGTAGGCAAAAATACTTTGCAATGAAAAGCAGATTATGCAGACATGGGAAGTTTGACGATAGTAGCTTCCTTACGCTTAATTTATGTTGTGTTATAATGAGATAGGGAAATAAGACCTTCAATTATGTAAGCCTTTTAACTATGTAGACTTGGAACAAAGGTGAAAGTATGAACTATGAAATAGAATGTAACTGGTTTTTACTTTGGACAGTACTTTTGAAGAAAAATAAAATACAACTCTTGAAGATAAACAAAATGGGCTTTAAAAGTCCCTAGTGCCTACTCCCTTATAATGCAATCATAAAGGACTACCATCAGTAAAAGGGCTCAACGTATGTGTAATAATTAAAGGGTGAGGGACTTGCTGATGATTACAAAGCAAATTGTACTTTAGCATGTAACATGACAGAATTACACTGTATAATAGTTACTTTAAAATGTTGAAGCACAATAAAATATTGATGGCATTACTATTATGAGCACTGCATGACTTTCAGAGAACTTCACACAAAGAGTTAAAAACTTATTTTTGGTTCTATGACTATTTCTTTATGTTGTTTTCTGGTATAATCCTAAAACTCTCATGTATCATAGAAGGAACGTGTGGTTCAATTCATAATCAAATGGCCTCATTGTTAGCTAATGAAGCACACATACAAGTCCTTAATAACAAAATCTTATATTTCTTTGGGTTCAAATGGCAACTTTCAATTCAGTTACAAGAGAATTTGAGATGCAGAAAATAATATTGTGCTTTTTCCTCTGAATTCTATGACAGGACCTTAATTCTGGACTTACATTTCTGTGTCATGGCTATCAACTTATAGTTGATAGAAGAAATTTTCTCCTTTCAGTTCAGTTTTCCCCCTCCCCACTTATTCCTCTTTAATACCCTTGTTCATCAAAACCTCAACAGCACCATTCAAATGTTTCTCCTCTTCCTGCCTTTTCCTCCAACTCAGGTTGTATCAGTCAACCCAATCCTTCCATTTCTAATACTGAATAGACCTAAGGTTACTGAAGGAAGTAAGAGAGGTTTTCACAAAGAATGGGGCTATCTAAAATGTGAACTTCTTAAACTTCCAGTATTAACTTTTGGAACCCATATTGACTATACATTTTTTTCATCCCTCGAGTTGCATTAATAAGGTCCTCTCCTACCAACTTGCCTCGGAATTCACCTTGATATAGAACAAGGTATAAGAATCTTAACACTATTGACTTATTAGGGAGGATAACTACTTATTGGAGGACTGGGCAGGGGGCAGGGAGGTACTCTGCAGCGTAAGTAGCTAGCAGCATCCCTGGTCTCTACCCACTAGATGCCACTATCAGCACTGTGTGTACATCCCCCCCCCCCCCCCAAACCAAAAGATACACACAATTGTGATAAAAATATCTCAGACGTTGCAAATGTCCACTGCAGGCAAGGCATTAATAATAAACCCAGGTTGAGAAACACTACTCTAGATAATGTTAAAAAAAAAAGACAGCGAATTTCACCATACTATACCTAGAGTCATCTTTCACCAAGACAATAACCATGTGACAGTTGAGTTTTGCCTTAAAAAAGAGACCTCTAGAGCAAATACAAGAGTGACTCAGACCCAGTCTGTCCCTGGAAAACTTTCTGCCAAGTACTTTATGGCTTTATTTGTCATATATCTGATGCAGAATACAAAAATCCAAAGTCAGCCAACAGGATATGTTATGAAACTCACATATAATGATTGTCTGTAGCCATTTCAAATCAAAATAAAGTAGGTATAACATTATTGAGAGCCCTTATTCTTTGAATTTATTATACATTTCAAAGATATACCAGAGATACAGTTAAAGGTAAGAGTAAGGGCAGGTTTATTGTATACAAAGATTAAAAATTTTAAGACTAAGAAAAAAAAGTCCTACAAATACAGTTACACGTTTACTCCTTTTAAGGAAAAAACAACTTATTTCCAGTGGTAATATAAAAATAGATTTTTGTCATAAAAAATAAAGATCCCCATGTCTCCTACTTTGGGATCTCAATTTTTTTATTTAGGAAAACCCAAACCCAGTTTCCCTTTCTAACTCATGAATGCATGACATTCCACAATGCTAACAATGGGCACCTTCTTTACTTAAAGCTCACACATATGTGGAATCTAACACAAAATGAAGAATCAGACCTATAAATACAGAGAACAAAGTGATGGTTGACAGAGGGGAGGAGGATTGTGGGGATGGGCAAAATGTATGAAGGAGAAGGGGACATACAGATTTCAAGTAATGGAAGAAATAAGTCATAGAATAAAAGGCACAGCATATGGAATACAGTCAATGACACTGTAATAGTGTTGTATGGTGACAGATGGCAGCTACACTTGCTGTGAGCAAAGCATAACATATAAACGCGTCCAATCACTATGCTACACACCTGAAATTAGTGTAACACTGTGTGCCAACTATACTCAAATAAAAAAAATTAAAAGGAATCTTGAGATTAAGGGAAAAAAAAGCTCAGAGACACTGAGACTGATTTTGAAATGATTAAATGTGTGCACTACACCTGAAGTGAAGGCAGGTTTTTGGGGCACCTGTTTTCCATTGCACCATGGTTAAGATGAAGTACTAGTTATTATGTTTCCATATATATATATAGCCAGAGATCTTAATTCAAAAACTAGGTATATCAAGACAGAACAACCTTTTTGACTTGTTGCATTTTTTATGAATTAACCAATTGTTTCAAAATAGAAAATATAAAAAAAAATATGTTGACTGTGTGTGTGTGTGTGTGGTTTAATAAAAACTTTAAAAATGGAATCTAACTGCATCCTGGTCTAGAAAATTTCTTGATGTCCCAGAGAGGTAAAGGGAGAGATGCTATTACCAGCAGGACCAGATTTAGGCAAAAAAGTAGAAAAATGCTATCTATTCCCAACAGGTTAAATTTATTGAATTGCTTATGGCATATGTAAATTTACACAGGAAGTGAGAACTAGAGTATTAAGATCATGGCTATTTTGGGGTCCTATAAAATCTTCCCAGTGAAAATGAAAGAGAACTAAACTTATTTGTCACTAACCCTAACCTAACCAACCTTAAGAAACGTTAAGAATTTTCAACACCATTAAGTTACATTGTGTCACTTTCTAATCAACCACTCTGCCCCTCCCCCACAACAGGCTGTTAAATTACCATGGAGAGCCTTGCCTATGCTTGAAATTCATACAAATTAGATCATACAGTATATACTTTTGTGTTTCTGGATTTTTTCTTTCAGTATAATTTCTTTTTGATTCATTCATGTTGCATATATCAACGGTACATTCCTTTACATTGCAGAGCAGTATTCCATTACATGAATATACCACACTTAGTTTTTCCATTCTGCTGATAGACATTTGAGTTACTTTAGTTTTGGGTTATTATGAATAAAGCTGCTATACACATTTTATCCAAGTCTTTTTGTGAACGTCTCCTGGGTAAGGTACAGTGGAAATGCTGAATCATACATACAGCACACATATGTTTAACTTTATTTTACAAACATCAAGTGGTTTTCCAAAGTGACTGTACTATTTTACACCTACCACCAATGCTGAACATGTCAGATACTCTACACCTTTGCTGTTATGTCATTAGCCTTTAATTTTAGTTGTTTTGGTAGGTATAAAGTACAAAGGATGTCTGCGAATCAGAAAATATATATTATGTATATGAATAAAAATATAGGTTTATACATATGCGTGTGTGTGTGTATGTGTGTGTGTGTATATATATATATATATATATATATATATATAATTTTCCTCAAAAATTCACACAGAGCCCAATAATCTCATAGACTGTGAGATCATGATCTGAGCCAAAGTTAGACACTTAATTAACTGAGCCACTGAAGCACCCCTTTTAATGTTTATTTTTGAGACAAAGAGCAAGCGACCAAGAGCAAGCATGAGCAGGGGAGGGGCAGGCAGAAAGGGGGACAGAGGATCTCGAGCGGGCTATATGCTGACAGCAAAGAGCCTGATCCAAGACTTGAACTTGTAAACTATGAGATCATGACCTGAGCCAAAGTCAGACACTTAACTGAGCTACCCAAACGCCCCTTAGTTTTCTTGCACATATTTCAATAAATTTACCTCTAAGTAGTTTTTTTATGGTATTGCAAATTATACTGTGTTCTTAAATTTATATTTTTAAATTTTTCCAGTTATATTTAAAAATATGTAATTTTTAAAAAAATGTTATTTAAATCCAAGTTAGTTAACATATAGTGTATTAATGGCTTCAGGAGAATAATTTAGTGACTCATCATTTACATGTAACACCCAGTGCTCATCCCAACAAGTGCCCTCCTTGATGCCCATCATCCATCTTGGCGATCCCCCCACCCAACACCTCTCCAGCAACCTTCAGTTTGTTCTCTGTATTTAAGAGTCTCTTATGGTTTGCCTCTTTGTTTTTTTTTCTTCTTATTTTTCCTTCCTTTCCCCATGTTCATCTGTTTTGTTTCTTAAATTCCATATGAGTGAAATCATATGGTATTTGACTTTCTCTGACTTTCTTTGCTTAGAATACATTCTAGCTCCATCCACGTTGTTACAAATGGCAAGATTTCATAACTTATGTAATTAGAGCCTATATCATACAATCTTATTACATTCACTTAACAGCTCTAAATAATTTTTTAAGTTTATTTATTTTTATTTATTTATATTATTTAAAAAATTTCTTTAAATGTTTCTTCATTTTTGAAAGACAGTGGGTGAGCAGGGGAGGGGCAGAGAGAGAGAGAGACACAGAATCTGAAGCAGGCTTCAGGCTCTGAGCCTTCAGCACAAAGCCTGATGCAAGGCTCGAACTCAAGAACCATGAGGTCATGATCTGGGCCGAAGTCAGATGCTTAACCAACTGAGCCACCCACGTGCCCCAATTTATTTATTTTGAGAGAGAGAAAGAGAGCACAAACAGGGGAAGGGGAGAGAGAGAGAGAGAGAGAGAGAGAGAGAGAGAGAGAGAGAGAGAATCCCAAGCAAGCTCTGCCTTGTCAGCATAGAGCTCAACACAGGGCTTGAACTCAGGAACTGTGAAATCATGACCTGAGTGGAAACCAAGAATCAACCAAAAGTGGATGTTTGACTGAGTCACCCAGGTGCCCCTCCCTAAATCATTCTTTTTGTAGATGTTACTGGATAGTCCACTCAAGCACGTCTTCTGTGAACAAAGACAATTTTACTTCTTCCTTTCCAATCTTAATGTTTCATTGTCTTATGGAACAAAATAGTCTGGATTGCACGGTTGATTAGAAAGAGTGAGCATCTTTGCCTTATTTCTGGTTTCTAGAGGAAAGACAGTCAACATCCACAACTGATTTTAGAAATGAGTATTGTCCGGAGACATTTTATCCATTTGAGGAAGGTGTCTTCTATTTCTATTTTTCTCAGAGTTTTAAATTATGAATTGATATAATTTTTTTCAAAAATTCTTTTGCGGGACGCCTGGGTGGCTCAATTGGTTAAGCATCCGAGTCACAGAGAACTCTCTCTCTCTCTGTGCCCCTACCCGGCTGTGCTCTCTCTCTCTGCCCCTACCCCATTTGTACTCTCTCTCTCTCAAAAGTAAATATTAAAAAAAAATCTTCTATATATCATGAAATTATTAGATGAATTTTCTTATTTGTTATTTGGAGTGACTGCCTGGGTTGATTCATACATGTTAAACCAAACTTATATTCCAGAAAGTAAATTTCAATGACCATGATGTATTTGCCATTCTATATATTGTTCAGTAACTGGTTAACAAATTGCTAAGGAAGTTTTGTGTCTGTGTTAGTGCAAGATATTAGTCTATATACTCATTTCTCATAACTTCTCAAAACTTCTTTGAGAAGTTTTAGTGTCAGAATTATTTATATTCGTGTCAAAAATGAGTTGAAACTTCTTTCCCCTACCTCTTGCTTCTCAAAACCTTGTGTAGAGTTAGTATTTTTCCTAAATTTTTTTTAAGATCTGAATTTAGGTCTGTGCTTTCCTTTCTTGGAAGGTTTTTGATAATGGATTCAATTTACTTATTATGGTGCCCATTCACATATTTATTATTTAATCATGTGTTTTGCTAAATTAGTTTTACAAGGAGCTCATCTATATCATTTAAGCTGCTGAACTTTTTGCCATAAAATTATAAATAATATTTCCCATTATCCTTTAAAATCTACGTAGTTAAAAAACTTGCATCAATCCTGATATTGGTAATTTGTATTTTCTCTTTATTTTATCAGTCTAAGAGTTAATCAATTTTAATAATTAAAAAAAACGAATTTTGGATTTTTTAATTTTCTTTAATTTTGTGTTCACTTTGTTTCTGGCTTATAGCTTTATTATTTACTCCCTCTAACTTTGAACTTAGTTTGATATTTTCCTAATTTTATTCATTTATTTTTCATATTTTCCTAATATTAAAGCAGGGATTTAAAACACTGTTTTAAACTTTTTTTCTAATACCAGTCATTAAAATTATAAATTCTCCTTTTTGAACTGTAGTTCACAATTTTTGATACTATGTTATTGTTGTTTCTTTTCATAAATGTGCACTGTGATTTGATGATAGGTTATTTAGAAGAACGATTTTTTAAAAAAATTGTATATTTTCTATATAGTGACTTTGATTTCTAATTCAATTACTTGTTGATTAAAGAACTATAGAAATTATACAAGGAATAAATGGATCATGCCTATGTACATTTTAAATCACAAATTTAATATTGTTTCATGAATCTGAAATATTTCCTCTTTCAGAGTATTTAAAACAGAGATGTTCATAACCATAGGTGAACATCAAAATTTCTTCAGCAATATATTAACATACATTGGCTAGATCCAATCCTAGAGATTCAGATTAGCCAGATCCAGACTTAGAGATTCAGATACAACAGGACAAGTGATTTTAATGCATGTCCTCAGTTAAAAAGAAAAACCATCACCAGCAACAAAACCCAACTGTGTGTGGATAGAGCTACAGAGTATTATGTTAAGCGAAATGAGTCAGAGAAAAACGAATACCATATGATTTCACTCATATGTGAAATTAAGAAACAAATGAACAAAGGTTAAAGAAAAAGAGAGGTAAACCAAGAAACAGACTCTTAATTACAGAGAACAAACTGATGGTTACCAGGGGGAGATGGGTGGTGAAGTAGGTTAAATAGGTGATCGGAATTAAGGAGTGCAGTTGTTGTGATGAGCACTGAGTGACGTATGGAAGTGTGATAGCACTATATTGTAACCATGAAACTAATATTACACTGTATGTTAACTGGAATTTAAGTAAAAGCTTAAAAAAAAACTAAACCAGATAACTTATTGGTTAATACATCCTAAATTTTATTCAATTAAAATCATTTACATTTTTATAGAGTGACAAAAATGTGCCAAGTTTTGTGCTAGGAAATAGAGCCTAAATAAAAATATCAAGATACTTACTTTAATGTACTTTATTTTTCAATTTTTTTGAGTACAGTTGACATGCAATGTTACATTAATTTAAGGTGTACATTAGACTTCTCTATTCATTATGCTGTGTTCATCCCAAGTGTAGCTACCATTTGTCACCATAAAACATTATTACAGTATCATTGCCTATATTCCCTATACTGTGTCTTTTATTCTCTTTTATTCTAGTGACTTAGTCATTCCACAACTGGAAGCCTGTATTCCCACTCCCCTTCACCCATTTTGCTTTCCCCCACAAACCATTAGTTAGTTCTGTTTATGGATCTGGTTCTGCTTTTTGTTTACTCACCATTTTTTTTTAATTTTACTATGTACTTAATTCTTAATATTTATATAATGTCAAAATAAGTAAGATCCTGTATATGTGTGTGTGTGTGTGTGTGTGTGTGTGTGTGTGTGTGTGTGTTTATGCATGTCTGTAAGCCCCAAACTCACACACGATCAACAATGGCTTTATTTTTGTAATGCAATGAGATGCTGTAAAATAACATTTTTTAGGGGTACCTGGGGGGCTCAGTGGGTTGCGCATCTGACTTGGGCTCAGGTCATGATCTCACTGTTTGTGACTTCGAGCCCCACATCAGGCTTTATGGTGACAGCTCAGACCCTGAAGACTGCTTTGGAGTCTGTATCTCTCTCTCTCTCTTCTCCCCTACTCCAATTCTGTCTCTCTCACTCTCAAAACTAAACAAACATTTAAAAATGTCTAAAATAACCTTTTTATATGAAATATTAATGTATGCCTCCAATGCAAATATTAGATAATAAAATTCCCCTTTGTGGGAGCAAACATGCTCTACAGTACTGAAACAAATGGAAACTTTTAAATGAAAAATACTTTGCAAAATAGTTTTGATTTCTCAGATATTCCTGATGAACAAAAATTAAAACAAAAATCCGTATCGATACTTATGGTGCACACTGACACACATACACATTCACACACATATAAGTATGTCATTGAATGGTTCAGATTTGCTTAAGTTCTGAGAATATTTTGAGGATCTGATTTTGCTTAAGTAATGCTTTTAAAGTGACATATTTGCTAAAATTCAATTGCAAGTGAATCTGGAGCATGAGACAGAGAAAAATAATTCAACTATGATGTCACAATTCTTTTTTAAAGTTTATATTTCAGATATGGCAATTTGGTAACTTTCTAAACTGTTTTTTATCTACTTTGTTTTAGTTATGTTAAAGTTTGTGCAAAAGACACACATGTACTCATTTCTGTTTCTTCTAGAGTGAAGTAATCTTACATAATAGTAGAGATCTGAGAATGCAAAATATTTCTCTAGTTGGTGATGGCAAGTGCTTACACATAATAGTGATCATTAGAGTGATTATATATAAATTAATTAAAAACTTTCCCTCTTATTTTAATAGCCAAAAAATAAACTTTGGAACATATGATAATTACATTCCAGGTAAGAAAGAATATTTACTTTTGAAACATGATTAATTTTAGGATTATGATTATTTTAAGGATAAGTGATTATTATCCTCTATTCAAAGGGATAAAGCAAGAGCTCTTACAGAATATTATTAAAAATAAACCCTTTTACTTATAAGGCACCTTACTCATGGACTCAGCAAACACTTTCTAAGATATTTTGTTTTTAAATCAAACAAAGTTTAAGCAAATAGGTTTAGCAACATAAAGGTGTTATGTTAGAAATCATACATGTTAGAAATAAAAAATCAGATAATCTTACAGTTGAAAAGTAGTCTAGAAACTGGATAAACAACTCACCAATATCCACAATGACTTGTACTACATTCCTGCTAGACTATATCCCCCTGATAATAGGCCAAAAACCCAACAATCTGATGTTGAAGGCCTTCATATATCAAATGATTTTCCCTCATATAGTGACCTTAAATATCTCTTTCATTCTGTATATTTTCTCATCGATCCTGTTTTCAGGAGACTCATGGGAAAAGTATATTTTCTCTTACACAAAGTACTACTACTGCACGTGTTTAAATGCAGTGAAAATCTCTCACTAGTTTCATTTGTACCCTAAATGTCTCTAAACCATTCTCTTATAGTTTCCAGGTAACTTTACCCTCACAGTCACAATTCTATAGGTACTCTTAATTTGTTAGATTTTTTCATTAATATGCCACTTACATTTTTTTCAAATTTTTATTTAAATTCTAGTTGGTTAACATATAGTGTAATATTGGTTTCAGGAGTAGAATTAAGTGGTTCATCACTTATTTATAATACCCAGTGCTCGTCAAAACAAATGCCCTCCTTAATACCCATCACCCAATAACAACAATGCTGTTATTAAGTGCACAACATTTACTCTTGTAACTTGGAAAAATACTAACTAAAGGAATCTTAAGCAGTAGCATTTAGATTCAATCATATATTTACGAAATATTTTATAACAAGTACTGTGCTAAGTACTTTGGAGGCTACAGAAGTAGTTACCATATTTTCTGATCTCAATAGAATTTATTCTAACCTAAAGAATCTATAGCAAGAATCCAGACCTGGAGAGACAGAAAGATTATAAGAAAGCAGTAAAGATGTTTCTTTGCATTTATATCACAGACTATATTAGTTTTACAATGACTATCTGTAAAACTGATCAAAATAGAAAAATAAATCTTTATTTTCATGTACTGATAGCAGAGAATTCCAAATATTAATAAAATAAATGAAGCCATAATTCATATCATTTGTTTATTCATGAGGTCTATTATCTTACTGCCGTTTTAGTTCTGATGAAATTCTACTTACTCTAAAATGTTTGTTAAATATTTTCTTATTTTAGTCAGTGAATTAAGCAAAAAATCATGGAATCAGCAACACTTTGCCCTGGTATTTCCCAAACCACCACGGCCAGGAAAAAAAAAGAGATCAAAACCATCTCAACTACGAGACAATACAGCTCCTGTGAGTATTGAAAAGATCATATAATCTTACTAGTGATAAACTTGTGAAATCATGTATAGTTGTGTGTTTTACAGATCAGTGCTGACCAATGGGATTTCTGTGATGATGGAAATATTTATGTCTTTGCATTCCAATTTAGCTATTGAATATTCATTTTGAGAGGCTAGTCCAACTGAGGAATTGAATTTTACATCTCAATTCAATTCATTTCTCTTGAGGCTTATATACCATATTGGACAGCACAGTTAAAGGTAATTCAAACTCTACTACTTGACAAAAGTAGATATATTTTATTTTCATTTCACTGTATAAAAATTGGCCTCTTATTTCATATTATTTCTTTAGTAACACAACACTATAAAAATGTGTGTTCAAGAAGCACAAAAATCTGAGGATCCTAATACTGCAGTTAATAAGAACATTCAGAAAATGTTCCCTGGCTAGAGAAACTCCCTCATTAAAGTTGTGGGGTTATATTATACCCTGATGAAGTTTTAATACTTCTTCAATGTAGAATTCAGTATTCTGAATACTTGAAGATAAATATTTCTTAATGTGTGTGGAGTCATCATGGGATATGAAATGTTAAAAAAAAAAAACTTTCACAAGATAAATGTATCAACTCTTGTTTGTTTTAGGGAGTGTTTCTAATCAGTAGTGATCCTAGCTTATTCTGTAATCTCACACTCTTTGCTTTTCCTTTCTTTCTTTATTCAATTTATTTTTCCATTATTTGTTATCATTACTTGCAAAGTTTGCTTTTTTTGCAATTAAGATTTTACAAATACTTGGTTAGGAGTTGAAAATAAAATGTACCATTCTGCACAAATTTACTTGCACTGAATGTTACATATTTTCTCATTGTAGTTTCCTATCTGAAAAATATCAATTTATACCTTGCCAAACAGTAGCAGTTTTAGGCTTGTACTTTTAACCACATGTAGCAATCCAAATTCCAGAGACCTTCAATGTGATAATAGAGAATAGGATATGCCTGAACATGAAACTATTAGAGAATAGTTTCTGAGTTAGCCTAGTAATGGAGAGTGGGCAGAATATTTTAAGAATTCTCCAGAACACTGAGGAAAAAAAAGCCTCCCTGATTGTGAAATCAGAAATTCTGATATGTCATTAGTCAGTGGAGGTCTCTACCAATTTTAACATAATATCTTGAGGGAATTATGAAGATCCTCTAAATTGAAATAAGGCCCACAATAATACATGAATATCAATTAGTCATAAAAAGAATGAAATTGGAAAAGCAAAATAAACTATGAGATCTACAATGTATCCACTTATCAAAATCTAAAATCTTTTAATGGTTGAAGTTAAAATGTATTTGATATCTGGTAATAAAGGCTGTGTAACTTGCACACAAGTTGTTCATCATTATTCTAACCAATATTTCAGAAATATGATGAAGAGAAATTAAGAGAAGGTCCTAAACGACCGTTATGGATGCACAGTTCTTTAATGAGAATTTCTGAAAGACCATCTGATTATTTAGCTGCCAGGATATGGCCCCAACATAAACCAACCCATCACCCCAAGGAGGTTGCTAAAGTAGCAGATGTACACAAACCTGTATCTCCAGCAAGAGGTAAGAAAGATAAAGAACACAAGACAGCAGACAAGAAAGACAAATCAGAATCAGAATCAGAATCCACAGTTTCAAAGGGGCCACTAATAACTAGGAAGGAGTCAAAGAAAGATAAGGATATAGAAACAGGAACTAAAGGTGAAAAAGATGTTGCAAAAACAGATGTCAAAAAAGAGAAGAAACATACAAAGAAGGGTAAGGAGTCAGCTACAGAATCTGAAGAGGAACAAAAAGGTGCAAAAAAAGATACCAAAAAAGAAAGAAAAGATTCAAAGAAGGGTAAGGAGTCAGGTACAGAATCTGAAGGTGAAAAGAAAGATGCCAAGAAAGGTGCCAAGAAAGAAAAGAAAGATTCAAAGGACAAGGAGTCAGGTATAGAATCTGAAGGTGAGAAGAAAGATGCCAAGAAAGAAAAGAAAGATTCAAAAAAGGGCAAGGAGTCAGGTACAGAATCTGAAGGTGAAAAAAAGAATTCAAAGAAAGATGCCAAGAAAGATAAGAAAGATTCAAAGAAGAGCAAAGAATCAAGTATAGAATCTGAAGATGAAAAGAAGGGTGCCAAGAAGGATAAGGATGGGAAAAAAGATTCAAAGAAACCGGGAGAAAAAGATGATGAGTCAAAAGACAAGAAAGAATCCAAGAAAGATGCAAAGAGAAAGGTGAGTAAAAAAGAGAAGAAAGATGAAAAGCCTAGTGGGACAGATATTGAATCAAAAGATGATGCCAAGAAAGATGCCAAGAAGAATGCCAAGAAAGATGGCAAGAAAGATGCCAAGAAAGATACTGACACAGAATCTCCTGATGCAAAGAAGGATGCAAAGAAGGATAAAAAGGATGCAAAGAAGGATGCAAAGGCAAAGAAAGGCAAGTAGGCCTTGGATAAAATTCAAAAGCACGTTCGATAAAACAATTTTAGCAATCTGATACCAAATCTATGAGTGACAGGGGGCCTCAAAGAATCAAATAATTTTTAAAATGGAGCAAAGAAGAATACAAAGAAAGACTCATAAAATCATAAAAATATAAAGAAGATAAGAAAAATTAAGAGATGATTCAATGAAGAACTTGGAGGATACATATGCTAAGTTTGGGGATATGAAGGATTCAATGAAAAATCCCTAGAAATGTTCAAAGAAGAATATTCAAATCAGGATGTAGAAGTTAATGACACTGGA